TTTCACTCGGCAGAATTGGCCAGAAATTTTCAGGTCTCATGGAGTTCAGGCTCCACCATGACAGCTACAGCTAAGCCAGTTCAGGCTCCACCATGACAGCTACAGCTAAGCCAGTTCTGAGTTCCCTCTTCACTGTGACAACCACTTGGGCCGCCTCCAGCTTGCCGAACTGGAGATTCTGAAGGAAAGCAGCCCAGAGGAGCTGCACGGTCTGCAGAGTTTTCCACATTTTATTCAAATAGCACCTCATCAGCAAAACCATACGGAACACTCAACCCTGATTTCAAAAGTCTTCTGAATCCCAGGCAGAATATTTCAATGGCCATCATATCATCTGATCCCTTAACAGGCTTGGCAGCTACTTGGGGCCGAAATCATAATCCAGTACCTACCACAGTGCCTGGCACACGGTAATAGCTCAGTAAATGTTTACTGAGTCTGTGAACTGTTATGATTTTATAAAGGAAGAAACAGGCACAGAAAAATTTAGGTGGTTTCCTAAAAGTGCCCAGCGGCAGGCAGGGCTAGGACTCCGGCTTCCCAGCTGTTAGCCTGTTGACTCTCCCATTCTGATGTGCTGGCCTTCAAGCTCTGGATGAATCAAGGTCAGGAGGACCTTTCTGTCCTTGTCAACAAGCATTCACTGAGCATATACCCTAAACCAGAACCTTCCACCTCTCTTCTGCTCTCTGCCCGGCATCTGGCTCTTTCAAGCCTTGGCTTCAGTGGGCCCTCCTAGGCAAGAACTCTTGACTGCCACGTCCAAACCTGCCCCACCTCCTCATGCCCGTTACCCACTGCCACAGTTCCCATTCCGAATGTCTTCCCATTTGCATTTTACACTACTTTGCGTGGGCCTCTCTCTCCGTGTCTGTCTGTCTGTCTCTCCTCTGTGGTGTGCGTGTTACGGTCAGCTTGGCCACACCGGAATGTGAGCTCCCCAATGGCAGGGTGCTGGCCCCGACTTTGTGCTGACTGCAAGATGAGGGTGTGGTGGTGCAGCTGTGACACCAAGCCAGAATGGTCTCAGTGTGTTGAGAGACACAGAAGAGTGGAGTTTTGGCAAGGATGTTTGGAAGATATAAAGGAACGGGGTTGTTTATCCTGGGGGCAGAAAGACCGAGGGCAGACGCACCAGCTCCCCTTTTCAAATGTCAGATGGCGACAACACAGAGAGGTGGACTTGTCCTCTTGGTGATCCAGCAGGAGGAGGGCAAGGGGAGGGAACTTCAGGGAGCAGATTTTGTTCAAGGTACTCAGTATGCTCATACCATTATAATTACTGCCTTCCATGCTCATATACAGATGCTGTGAGTGAGGTCGCACGTCGATTTCATTCGTCATATATGTGTGTAGCACAGCACATGGCTTTTGTCACTCCATAGCTAACCTGACTGAGGGACTGCCGCATGGAACATTAACTATAGGTCACTGTCCTCTCTACTCCGAATGCTCCTCATCATTTCTCTTCCCTTTGACTTATCCTGAAATCTAAGCTTAAATATCACTTTATCAGGAAAATCACCTCCAGTTCTTGTACCACCAGATTACAGTATTCTCTCCTAGAAAAGCCCTAGACTTTTCCATCAAAGGAGCTATGATTACTGTATTTGAGGTTACTTGACTACTTAAGATCGGTTGTCCTATCAGAAGACAGTTGGTCCTCTTTGGCTGAATGACTCCCAAGAACCCCATGGAATGGCTGTCTGAACTCCTATGGAATACTCTCCCAGTGAGCCAGGACCGTCGTGCAGTTGTGTGCTGCTATCTGCACTGTGTTAACACAAAGTAAGTTCTCAGGTAGCTCTTGGATGGGCTTAAGCCTAGAGGCTAAAGTCAAGTCACTGGCCAGCGCTGCACAATAAGCAAGCAGCACAGCCCGGGTTTGAACTCCTGACTGTGTAACTCCAAAGTCTAGGGTTTTTTACTAAATGATGCAGATATAAATCCATTGTTCACGATTGCAAACTCTGCCATAGGAGACGGCCCTGTTGGTGGAAAGGTTGGGAGGTAGAGTGTGAAGGAATGCTGTTAGCCAGGTTGCCTTACCCATGGTCCAGACCGTTGGCTGAGAATGTGAGAACCTTCCTAACCAGGGGAACCCTTGTCCCGCAGCCAACAGGGTACCTAATGGAGGGACAGAGCTGAGACTTTGTGCCTTACCCTGTCCTGATGACAAGCAGGCTTGGCCAGGTGTGGTGGCACATGCCTGTAGTTTCAGCACTCAGGAGGCTGAGGCAGGAGGATTGCAAGTTTGAGACCAGCCTGGGCTATAAAGTGTGCTCAAGCTGAACTACATAGTGAGACCCTGTCTCAAAAATTAAAAAAAAAAAAAAAGACAAGCAGGCTTGACATCTGCAATTCCCTTCGCTGTCCTGGTTGTTGTCCAGACGGATTACTGAGTATGGAGCCTGCCGGTAGAGATGGCAGAGTAACAGGTTAAGAATTTGGGCTTTGGCTGGGCATGGTGGCTCCCACTTGCAATCCCAGCACTCTGGGAGGCTGAGGCAGCTGGACTGCAAGTTGGAGTCCAGCCTTGGCAACTTAGTGACTTAGTGAGACCCTGTCTCAAAATTTAAGATATAAAATAAAAAAGGCTGGCGTGCAGCTCAGGACAAAGGTCCTAGGTTCAACCCTTAGTATTGGGTAGGAGGTGGGGAATCTGTACTTCGGATTCAGACTGGGTTTGGGTCTTGGCTCTGTGACTAACTACACGTGACAGTACCTCTGAACCTGTTTCTTCCTCTGTGAAAGGAAAATAGAATGTACTCTCCTGGCACGGTTAAGACTGAATTAAAACATACATTAAAAAATACCTTCTATACACATTGCCTGAACCTAAGAGGGGCTCAAACATGGGAAGCAAAGCATGGTGTGATGGTGCACACCTATAATCCCAGTGCTCTGACAGGCTGAGGTAGGAAGATCACAAATTCATGCCCAACCTGGGCAATTTAGCCTGACCCTGTCTTGAAATAAAAAAGGGCCTGGGGATGTAGTTCAGTGTGCAAGGCTTGGGTTCAATCCCTAGCACTGAAAAGAAAAGGGAGGGGGAACCATTGTTATCATTTCCAATTCATCTCGAAGCCTTGCCTTGCATTCTCTTGATGGTGTACTTCTTGCCAAGAGCCTTCAGCTAAAAGTCAAAAGAACAACTATACTTTCGCGTCCCTGCATTCCGGCACTGTGTCAGGTTAACTAATGCGCTCACTCCAATCTAAGGTAGGGCTTTGTGTGGTGAGAAAATCTGAGTTAGTTCAAGCAAAGAGCCTGCTGCATATACGCTCCCACCTGTGGCTCTCCCTGGGCTGTGGGTAAGGATGCTGGAGTGGATGGTGACAAAACAGAACACAGAGATTGGCTGGTGCCATTAACCGGACTAGAGAAAGTTCCTGTCACCAAATTAACCTACAGAACATCTCATGTACAAAAAGGGAGATGTACCTTTAACTCGGAGGAAGGATTATTTGGGCAATCATGCTTGCTTTCAAGCACACATTGACCTGTCTCTCAAACTGGGTACAGAACCAGAGTCACCCATATAATGGAATTAACATGTTCATGACATTCTCTGCTTCTGAGCTAACAGGCTACAAATCAATGTAATGGAATTCAACTGCTTTTACCTATATTTCTTAAATGGTCCAATTGTGACCCTAAGTAAATATATCCAACCTTGCCTATAAGCAGCAAAACTTTGCCACCCCATAAGTTCATTTCTGTGAGGTTTCTGTTTCTTTATAAAACATCAGCCTTCCCCTTTTCCAGTAGGTATACAGGTAGAAAAATAAATGAAGTCAGCGCTCTTTATGTGTGTCTAGAATAAGCTGAGACTCAGTATGGTGAGTGGTTATTTGCAAGGCTATAATTTTAATGACAGCTTTTCCTAAAAGAAACCACTATAACATCTGTCCAAGTACTCCAAGGAAAAACAAAAAATACATAAAGATTAAAAGTCTATTACTTCAACAGCACATTGTCAAACACAGACAACTAGGATAAAGGCCAAGAGACCTTAAAAATAACCTCAAAAGATGCAACATTCAAGTCAATCAAACATGTAGGTTCTGCAATCAACAGAAAACAGGTCCAAGAGCAGTTCTACTTGTGCAGGATGGTAACTCAGGCTGTACTTCATCAAAGTTCATTCAGGTGTCTCAATCGGATAGGTGTCTGAGCAGAGATGGTTTTCTCTTCTTTGCACGGAAATGTGTACATTGATTTGAGCAGAAGAGAATCTTCCAGATGCTGCTATAAGCACAGCAGGCTTGGTTCCCCTTTGATAAAGTACTAAAGGCAGATTTAGTGGACTCAAGCTTTATCAGTTTTCCTAATGCATGCTGAAACAGAAGAGTTACAGAATTTGTCATGCTAAGTATTTACAGCCAGTTTCATAAAGTGAGCTCAGTAACCTGACAGAATAAAAAAGGTAGTTGTTAAATTATTGTATAACCTTTTACAACTTGAGTAACTCTGTGGGTAAATAACGCTGACATTCAAAGCCCCTCAAACATACATTAACAAGAAATTATTTACCGCATGAAGAGGCACACATCATATAAAACGTACACTTCACAGGAGGGAGTCCTGCATAGCAGGAAAGTCGCTACCACTACATAACAAATGGCTATGCCAACAGTCAAGGCTGCCACTGAAGGGTACAACATGAAAATTCCCTTAATATCTCAAGGAGTGTTTGCGATAGCACAGAACCCTTTTGGAGAACAAGTATGTATTTTGCTTGGAAGGATTTTTTGGTGAGAAATTTGAACATCACATTCAATAAAGTGATTTTCTAATTGGGTAAGATTTAAGGCAATGCTACTCAGACCTGAGGAAAAAAAATTCACAAGGGTGTATATTGTTCTTCTGAGTCAGTAACAGAATCAACATAAAAAAAGTATTTCTCACGGCTGGGTGTGGTGGCGCAGGCCTGTAATCCCAGCACTCGGGAGGCTGAGGCAGGAGGACTGTTGCAAGTTCGAGACCAGCCTGGGCTACAAAGTGAGCTCAGGGCCAGCCTGAACTGCATAGCGAGACGCTGTCTCTAAAGGGCAAAAAAAAAAAAGTATTTCTCTTCTAAGTGTTGAACGCATCGTTAGGTATTTTCAGCATTACAAAATAGACTCCACTTGCATACTATGAATATGAAATGGGAATTTTTTCTGTGCTCTTCCTTGAAAACTGTAAAAATAAAAACTCACATGGCAGCTCAGGTATTTAATATTAAAAATAACATGACAATGAAGACAACTATCCCCAGTGCACACAAAGGAGCCACCTCACCATAAATGCTCCAGAGCATATTACTCTTATGACTGCCTTTGGTGTAGTATGGGATGACCATGGATTCATAAATTAACTTTTCACATCTACTACAGGCTAACAAATAACAATATGACACAGGAAGTTTAAAAATTTTACATTTTGCTCCTGCCTGGCTGCTCAAGAGCAGCAATTTAAATCATTATAAAAACTTCTGACAACAAAGCTTGCTATACAGATAAAGTACATGATCAAAAATTAAGCAGCAATTAGATTCTTATTTAAACTTATCTGGTATATTTACATATTTGGGAAGAGAGACCGCCGACTCCTCCATCCTCTTTACTCCTTCCTTGCCCTCTGCCCCCTCTCCACCTGCCCAGTGCCCTCCAAATGCAAATCAAGTGCCCTGAACTCTGTACACCTGTACTTTGGCAAAGCCAGCTGGATGCGACTCCTACAGTCTTGGCCTGGAAGCAAAGCCCTAAGGTCTTGGAGGTGATCTGCAATATATGGTGGTCAGTGAATCTGTTCTTTCATAGCAAGGAGGGAAAAGGCCCCCGCATGTTGCTCTCCAACCCGAATGGGGAAGATCAAAATGCTGTCAGTTCCTTGCACCACAGTGGGCCACAAGAGAAAAGGAAAGAAAAAGGTCACGACAAAGGCAGCAGCAATCAACAGACGTTTCCGACAAAGGAACCTCTCCTCCCTGGGTTCCCTAGGAAATAACATCCCCTCATCCCTCTCCCTCCCTCACCGCGCACACACACATACACACGCGCGCACACATATACACGCACATACGCACACACAAATTAATTCTCATCACAAGAACTTGGTACTCTGGATAAGTGTCAGGTAAATATAAGAAAGAGTAACTCTGTCACTTTTTATACGTCAACTGAGACATAAAGCTAACAGAACACACAACATCACTGTGAAAGTAACTTTCTAAGACAGATCCAGCCTACATAGTGCGGCCATCAAAACTTAAAAGAAGAGTTTGCTCACAATCTGCCTTGTACAGGATATTTCTATTCTTTCGATGCCATATAAATAGCATTTATATAGCTTACACATTCAGAGACATGCACTAGGACTTTTTAGGTAGTACAAATTTCTTCACAATCACATGTGCAAATTATACAAATCACTAAGTATTAATAAGCTTAGGCTGGGCTGTGTCTCGTATCATCTAAAGAATTTAACGCGGGTTCAGAATCATCCATAGGAAGAACCAGGCGCGTCCCTCGAATGACCAGTTCATGGTCTCCAAATGCAAGCTCCCGATCCAAGGCATCTTCAGAGCTGTTGCCCATAAATCTCCTGGGGGCACTGGACGGTCCCGACTCTGTGTTCACAGTAGAATCCCCGTACGTCAAACTGATATCTCCATCATTCAGAATCAGATCGGAGTCATCATCTTTCAGTTGCTCTTGGTTCTAAACACAAATGAAAAAGGTTAAGAATTGTTAAGAAATTCAAGAACCATTGCCAATAGGAGAATTTTTGCAATTCGCTATTTCACACTCTTCAGCGGAAACCTACTGCCCTCAGGATAAGGTCTGTCGTCCTCACCTTGGTTCAGCAGACACAGTGTGACTTGGTCCCTTCAGCCTCCTCTTCCACCACAACCTGTCTCTCCCACCCCAACGGCCCCACTGAGCGCCCACCAGCTGCCCCGCTCTCCGGGGCTTTCTCTTACCTCCAGACCACCCTACACACTGTCCCCTCCACTCCCGCCACACGACCAGCACCTAGGCCTTACTTCCTCCTCAAGTCCTTCTGGATCTTCCAGGTCTGGGTTAGATGGAGCCTCCTGCCATGTTCTCAAGAGCACGGTGCCCCTGAGTGCTCCCTACAGCAGCACTCGCTCCCATACTCAGCAGTGCGACCCCAAGGGGCTTAGAGTGTGCAGGGCAGCGGGAGGAACAGACCAATACATGCATGACTCATCACCAAAGGTTACCTCATCCAACCGCCTGACCCGGTCTGGCACACAGAGAGATATATATCAAGTCCTCACTGTGTACTTGTCTCCCAGCACCTAAGCTCTGGTTTGAATGGAAACTCTGAGGTCAGACCAGTAAACTTAATAAAGTTCTACAGAAGGGCAAAAAGTAAAAAATATAGAGTCATTTTGGTAAATAAAAAGGTAGATGCGTGCATAGAAAAGTGTGGAAATACAGTCAACATGAGTTCCGCATGACAGCACTGCTGCTAAGTTTTATTTTCTTTATGTTTCTTTACTATCAGAAATTTGCTGTCGCTAGAAATTTCCCTACATACTCAAAGACAGACAAAGGGAAACTAAAAAATAAAACCATGCCGCCAACCAGAGAGAATGCTCTTCTAACTTAGTTACAGCAGTAAGTCTAACTACTGCCACACGCAGTGATGTAGCAGAGCTCCGTGCTCCTTCACACGTCAGCAGGGGCGCCATCAGCTTCTAACCTTTTCATAATCGCGGAAGTTTGGGTCCGTGTTCATCAAATTTTAAAGTGCTCCAATAATTGATCCAACGATTTTACCTTTAGAAGGCATCCCACATGCAGTACTTTTATCCCTGGGTAAATTTATATGTAAATGGATATTAAAAATATATAACCACTATAAGTATTGTTTGCAAAAGCAAAAAAGGCAATGATTTAAATATCTGTCTGTGGGAGACCAAACAAGTAAATTTCCACATAGCCACAGATGGAATAGTGTATCAGCATGAAAAAGAAGGCAACAGTTTTAATGTACTTTTATGATGTATCAGTAACTGGAGAAAAATAAGAGTGAGACAGTACACGTTACAGTCCCACAGTGTATAAAACAAAGCCACTCACACACATGTAAGTTTGTACGGATAAACTACATTAGGAAGTTTCTACTGTAAAACTTTACTAAAGACTGCCTCTGGGGAATGCAAGAGGAAAGCCAATGTTATTTTTCACTTCGTATATTCCATACTTTTTAAGGATTTAGCTATGAGTATATTAGTTTTGGAATTTAAAAAAGTAGTTAATAACAAAAATGATATAAAAATCAAGTTTGATGGCTGCTATGGGGTAACATTTTATTCTCCCCTGCAGATGCTGAAGGCCTAACCTTAGCACCTGTAAATGTGACCTTGTTTGGAAACGGGATCTTATGTGGAAGCAAGGTGGGCCCTGATCCAAGGACCGATGTCCGCATGAGAGAGGGAAATCTGGACATAGAGACAGGTGCATGCACAGGGAGGACGCCACGTGGAAACGAAGGTGGAGAGACTGGGATGGTGTGTCCGTACGTCACGGAATGCCACAGGCTGCCCACGAAGCCCCCGGAGCTAAGAGGGGCCTAGAGGGTACCAATCCTGCGCGCACCCTGACCTTAGCCTTCTACCACAAGGACTGTTAACAGGACAGTAGGTTGCTGGTGTTCAAGCCATCAGTTCCTGAGACTTACAGCAGTCCCAGGACTCTCATACAGTGCTCTGTTATGTTTTGCTATATTCCACAGGACATGTGGTCCGCTTCTGGTGATAGCAAGTGGCGCTCTGGAATCCAAGAGCGAAGAGTCACTGCCTGAAGGCGTAGATCTGGCTGAACCCTCTGCATGGCCACGTGAGCTCCCAGGGCTCGGTGGACAAGGCACGGCTGGAGAGGACGGCCTGCGGCGTGTGTTCTCCCCAGGCCCCACCCCGTCCAGGTGCCACTCCCACACCGCCCAGCCTGCCCCACCCATCCCGCGCGGCCTGCTCTCATGTGCCACCAGGCGGGTGCCGGGTACCTGGAGGGAGCGGGCCCTCCTCAAGGTTGAGTGCTGCGCCTGAGCGGTCAAAACCACCGGGCCACTTGATGCCACAGATTATCTCTGAAGGGTTGGTGTAGGGTCAAAGGTTTAAAAAATGGAAATATTTACAGTTTACAATACTGGCTTTACAGTTTACAATACTATCTTTCACTTTTTTCTTAGTTAAAATATTTACCGTAATACCAATCATACGTTGGTAGCTAAGGAAAAAACGTGCACTCTAGATCTATCCACGCCTCCTAGCAACACAGAAGAGAGGCAGATAAACTTGCCCTAACGTCTAACAGTTAGTAGGTGTGGATAAGGTCCCTACTGCACGGAGATCATCCGAATTCGTTTTAGGGGGCTGGCAGTCAGCACAGTGGTAGAGCACTCGCCTAGCACGTGTGCGGCCCTGCAATGCATTCCGCACACTGCAAAACAACCAAAACAAAACAAGTAAAACCCCAACCACACTCGCGTCCAGATGAAAACATATACATTTCGTGCTGAACTCAGGCCCCATACTACAAACAACTGAAAACCAGCGTGAAAAAGACTTACTCAAATTACCTACAGTAAGATGAGGTACTGTCTCCACCTGTTATCAAATGATATGTCAAAGGCAGTCAGTTGTATTTATCGATTCCAGTGTAGTTTCTGGTTGAGCAAAGTATGTTTAAATTCCCTCTCCGGGATTTTATACCTCAAAGGCCGAAACCCAAACCAAAGTACAACAAAACCAGGAAGCCCTCCTCAGAGCAGCTACGTGGGACCTGCGGAAGAACTGGGGTAGTGAGGAAAAGCCACTTACTTCGTAAGCCTGAGGGCTGGTCAGGCACCTGGCAATGGGCCCGCAGCAGGCTGGGAGCGTGGTGGTGAGGGGAGGCCCGCTGTGCGTCAGCAGAGGCTTCAGGTAGCTGCGCCCACGTTAAGGAAGAGCTGCGCGCATCGTGGCTCCTTTCTTCACACATCTGAACAAACAACTCAGGTGATGGCCGTCACCCTCGCAGTGGACTGACCAGCTCGGTGGTGAAGGGCTTTCACACATGCGCATGCATCTCATCACCGTGTGATGGCAGTGAGACAGCACAGAGAGACCTTACTGTCAGCTCCATTTCACAGTGAGCGACAGTGAGGCGCGGAGAGGTCCCAGACCTTCCTCGGTCTCACAATTAAGAAAATGCAGACTGATCCACTAACCCAGACTGACCTAGCTTCAAATCATGTGTCCATTCCACTACAGCATATGGCTTTTTGAATTTTATTAAAAGCAAAAGGGGCTGGGGATTTAGCTCAGCGGCAAAAGCGCCTGCCTGGCAAGCGCAAGGTCGTGAGTTCGGTTCCTAGTACCGGAGAAAAACCAAAAAAAAAGCAAAAGAAATACATCATCATTTTCAACTTGGCACTGAAGGAAATAGGGAAGGAAGTAAGGAATGATAATGGCAATGGCCAGAGAAGAGACTGAATACTTCAGTAATACAATATAGTAATAAAAGCCTTTAATCACTTCTTAAGGGTTCAGCTGGCCTCCTGAAACTTCACTACCAGGTTGATCCTTTTCCTATAAAGCTGTAATGTGGAAGAAAAGAAAGTCAATTCCCAATACATTTAAATAAACTATGTATCAGGAGCTCCTCTCCTGTATACTCTCATTTTAATATTTGCATATTTTTCAATAAACAAAAATAGATGTGCCAGGTGTGGTGGCGCACACCTGTAATCCCAGTGCTCAGGAGGCTGAGGCAGGTGGATTGTTGTGAGTTTGAGATAAGACTGGCCTACAAAGTGAGCTCAAGGCCATCCTGAACTGCATAGCAAGACCCTATCTCAAAAAGAAAAAAAAAAAAATCCCAGCACTAGGGAGGCTGAGGCAGGAGGATTGCTGCAAGTCCAAGACCAGCCTGGGCTACAAAGTGACCTCAAGGCCAGCCTGAACTACACAGTGAAATCCTGTCTCAAAACGACTAAAAAAACAAAATAGATGTGACCACGCATAATACTTCGAAAAGAAAAGGAGGGAATCACAAGGAAAAGGAGAGAGAGGAGGACAGAGCCATACTTATTCCCCACATTCTAAACTGGAGAGCCTGGACTGTGGTTCGGCGGTAGAGTACTTGCTTAGTGTGCACCATGCCCTGAGTTCATCCCCAGCACCACAAAGAGAGAGGGGGAGAAAGGAACAGGAGGAAAGGGGGAGGGGTGGCGGGGGAACAGGGAGAGGCTGAGGGAGTGGAGACAGAAACTAAGGTTGTGCTCAATTAAAAATAAGAAAGACAACATTTAATGTTCTGAAGTCTCATATTAATAACTTCTAAGTTAAGATCTGGAGCACTGTATATAAACAAACTTTATATATTATCTGGCCACACAAAGTCACTAAGAAACCAGAATGAATTCTACTAGTATACTCAGTTTAGAAATGACATCTCTGTCTAGTACGGAACAGGGTAGTACTGAGGCTAATACATCCTGGTGTTTGACACTAGAACAAATTCCTTAAAAAAAATTATCAAATAATTTGACAAAAGAATAGAAAAGAAAATCCAAATAGCCCTATATCTATTAAAGAAATTAAAAACCTTCCTATACAAAAAGCACAAGGCCAGATGGCTTCATTGGTAAAATCTTCCCAGCTCTTGAGGAATAATAGAACCTTATATTAACTCCTTCAGAAAGGAGAAAAAGAGGGAGTATTCCCCAACTCATTTTATAAGGTCAGAATAATCTTGTTATACAAACTTAACATCCGGGCATGGTAGCTAGCACCTGTAATCCCAGCACTAAGGAGGCTGAGGCAGGAGGATCGCTGCAAGTTTGAGACCAGCCTGGGCTACAAAATGAGCTCAAGGCGAGCCTGAACTGCATAGCGAGACCCTGTCTCAAAAAGACCAAATAAATAAATAAATAAATAAATAAAACAAATTTAACAAGAATGTTACAATAAAAAATCACAATCCAACACCTCTGATGAAAAGACAAAAAAAAATCAGGCACAAAATATTACCAAATTAAATCGAATAATGTACACAAAGAAGAACACATCATGATTAAGTGGGATTTGTTCCAGCAAAGCAAGAATGGTTTAATATACAACCAAGCAATGTAAATCAGCACAATACCAGGTTGAAGGAGAAAAAAAGTAATCATCTCAGTTGATGTAGAAAAATTCTGGTAATACTGATACCTGTTCATGATAAAATCTCTCAGAAAACTAGAAATGAAGGGGAATATTCTTAACTTATTAAAAGATATACTCAAAACCCCACAATTAGCATAATATATATTGGTGTAATGCTGAAAAAAACTTCCCTGAGGTTAGGGACAAAATAAGGGTGCCACTATTATCAATTACATTCCGCAGGGCACTGGAGAGGGTCAGTCAATGTAAGAAGACACAAAAAAGACTGAAAGTTTTACAAGATACTGGAAAAGAAAAAAAATTATTCATAGATCACTGGATTGCACATACAGAAAGTTAAAAAGAATCTGCAAACTACTAGAAATCTTAAGTGAACTTAGTAAGATTGCTGGAAGAAGATCAAGGAACTTTTCCCAAAACAGACCATATCTTAGACTGTAAAACATGCTTAAATAATACATAAGAACTAAAATAGTCCCCTGTTACTATGGGATCACTGCATACTACTGGATCAGTTCATTCTACCAGGGCACTCATTACAATGACCAGGTCTTAGTTGAGCAGTACTTCATAGGGCAGGACCGAGTCAAGTAAGTCTTGACATTTACTTGTATAAGAATACACAGAAAAGAAGCTACTACTCTACTCTTTCTCTACATAAGGATCATTTAATTGTTTTTTATATTATACAGAAAATGTGCAAAATATTTTAGGCAGAAAATACCAAGAAATTTTGTTAAATCAGAGGGATGGGAAAGCCTTAAGAGATATGGGAATGGCTTATGTCCAAAATGCCGAAAATGGAGCCAAAAGCAATGACATAATCTTTAAACAATTTTAAAGAGCCAGGATCTCTTTCCCTAATGGGAGTCTCAAAGCCAGATATACTTGCATTCTTGTTCCATACCATAATTTGATTTTGAAGTACTTGCAAAGAGTAAATGCAAAAATCTAGTAAACAGACTATTATAAGTAGTTACTTCTAATCATAAGTGTCAAGTGCATTTTTCTCAAACATATGAGGCTTTGATCAGAAAGCTGAAACTAAGGAAAAATGTGTTTACGTAGTTAATCCAAATTTGCTTAAATGGAACCTGAACCAGTTTAATTCATCTATTGAAAAATCTTAGCCTGAAATAACTCCATGGCTCCTTTTTCTCGTTCAATTTCAAATAATAAATTAATTTTAATAGAGGCAAAATATTTGTAAAGAGCATGATTTAAACAGGTTCTCAAAAATCAACACTACTCAAAAGTATAGCTATGAAGATGACATACAACAGGACAAGAAGGAAATTACATCATCAATGAAAACATTATTTGTGGCATTCTGAACCGAGTGTCCTCCTCAGGAAAGGCCAAGGAAGGAGAGGCATATCCCTGGCTATTGTGGTACCTAACCTTCCTGCATGGTTATAATGCTTTTCCCTAAGGCAGCCTTTCCTCTTCCACCCCAGTAAGTATAATAGCAAGAATTAAATGCTTTTTATAGGATCTACTAAATTATCCAAAGGACAACAAATATAGGTTTTCTCCACCACTAAACAAGCATCAACAAATATAGGTTTTCTCAACAACTAAACAAGCATCAAAGAAAGTGTCATTCAACCTCTTGAGTCCCTCTATAAAGCCAGCTTCTAAAATAACCAGTCCCAGGGCTGGGGATTTAGCTCCGCGGCACAGCACCTGCCTGGCAAGCACAAGGTTGTGAGTTCGATTTCCGGTACTGGAAAAAAAACAAACAAACAAAAAAAAACAGTCCCTACTATTTTCCTGTGTTTCATTTGTGTGTTTCAATTCATTTGTGTCAATTTCCTCTTCCATTACACTAAGAAAAGAGAAGATTAAAAGTACATTTTGTATTCCTCTTCCAGGCAGAACACCAGGCCTTGATCCCCAGCACCACAACAAAAACAAAACCAACCAACTAAACAAAAAACCCCAAACAGTTGTTATGTTAAATTATAACTACCCATGTCCATCTTATCATTTTTTTTTCTCAGTTAAGGATACTTATGATCGAAGTTGTACCATATTCGGAAGAGCCAAGCACTCTCTGCTTTAGTAGTTCTCCTTTCATTTTCAGGAACACCCTGCAGGCATAGAAGACACAAATCAATACATATACACAGACACAAGTATGTTTCTTACAGTCATTCCTTTGTAGAGTCAGAAACAGAACCTACATAAGATGCTCTCCAACAAGGGTGACATTAGAAATTTAATAGCTTGCATAGTACAGCTCTGGAGTAAGAAATTAGTGCTTTTCTGAACATCTCTATTACTCAAATGGATTAGTAATTTGCTATTGTTACTCAAAAAGTCAATGTGGGATAATTCACCTCTCAAATTCAAAAGATTTACAACTTCAACAGAAAGGCACCTTAAACAGAAAACATCACACCGACATCCTCGTTTGTGAGTTATGGGTCTCCAGGCATTTTCAAAGCTGCTACTCTGTTCTTAACACACCAGTAAAATAAAAACAAGTAGGAAAGTTCCACGGTAAGCCTGACTGGTTAGGAGGGAAAATTAACAGAGCAAGTAGGCATCTTCTAAAATAGCTTCCAGAAGTATAAACTGTGCCCTTATTTGTGATAGGGCAGGGTCAGAGGGAGGGCAGTTAGGCTATCTGGTTAGAGTCCTGGCATGTTGACATTAACTAGTTTGGGTAAATCCTCTTTCGTTTCTGGGTCTGAATTTCTCTTTGTATAAAATGTGCACAGGAGAGACTCTCTAACGCATTTCTCAGCAGTAATATTCCATGGCTCTAAGATTTTCTAGGAGGAGAGTTTAGATTCTGGGTTTCCGCTCCTTCCTGGCCTCCATAATCCTCAGTATGTATCAAAAATCCACAAAACATATAAATACATAAGTCTGTAAAAGTGTGCAAGGACATTATTTGGGCTTACAAGAGCCAAAGGACACCTTCTGTACTTTCTTTTGCATCTTTAGGTTGCACGCCTCCACTTATTTTATTTTTTGGTGCTGGGGATGGAACCCAGGGCCTTCACACTGAGCATTTACATCCCCAGACCTTTTAAAAATTTGAGGCATATTTTTAGTTTATAAATTTATTTAGTTTTGCCTTCACTTCTTGAAGAGCAGCTCATGTGTCCATCTCCCCATCCCTCCCCCATGTTAATGCCTACACACCCAACCTTCACACACACCGTCCTTCCTACAGTGTTCCTCTATGTGTTCAAAATTATTGAGCAAACCGTAGATCCAAGACATAAAGTTTTGAAGGAAGGGGAAATTAGATTTTTATGCATCACCACTGGCAGCAGTCTACCTGGCTCCCTCCCTGCCGCTCCAACTGTTTCGCCTCTGTGCTAACAGAGGTGACACAGCAAGGGGAGACTTAAGCAGAGAGTGATTACACACTTGTCACAGGAGCTGTGTGATAGCTTTACTCTTGTTTTGATACAAGGTGGAGGCACTGCGGAACTGTTACCCCTTCAGCACCACCCTAGCAGCTGGGCATGATGGGAACCTATCCCGCCTGGTTTGTCTAAGTATTTCAAGGCCAGAGAATTCTACTTTAAGGTTATGACCACAAAAGAGGCAAGTACTCGGTATCTCACATTCACACATACACTGGTTACTCAACAGCTAACAAAATTAGCATTTAGGAAATGAATGTGATAAAAAAAAATTGGTTAACCACACCCTGAAGAAAAATATACCAGGGTTTGTTTTAGACAAGAACAAGAACTGTGCTTTGAAGAGACGCCTTCCGCCTTCCAAAACCTAATGTCTGATCTAATGTGCAGCACGGCGTCACGTATTCAGTGGTGCTCAGAAACCACTAAAAAGTGAATGGAAAATACCAGAAAAGGGTGGTCAGTCTAGAGAGAGCAGCCAGTCACACTGTGCACGGTCCAGCAGGCTAGGGTTCACAGGGACAACTGCGAAACTGACACACGGAAGGAAGCAGGCAAGGAAACGAGGCCAAGGCTGAGGCACAGGGCAAGAAAGTGCACTCGCCTGAACAGGCAGGGAGGGCTGGTTCGAGAGTCAGAAGCGCCTGAGCAGCTCTCAAGGGCAGCTGCTGGTCATCCAACTCGAAAGTTACACAGGAAGAGCAGCTGGAGTGGGGCTGACACCAGAGACAGGCCTTCATGCGCACACCAGGGTGGAAAAAGGCTCCCCGTGCCAGAGCAGTCACTTGAAAACCCACGAGTGCTGGAGACTTCGCTGCCCTGTGGCAAAAGCCCAGGGTGGCCCACAGATAGGAAAACTGCCACCCTTGATAACCACACTGCCTAAAAGGTGGTTCCGTCTCTACAGCGCAGAGCGGAAAGCCAGGAATGAAGTCCGTCAAAAGCGGAGGCAGAACAGATCTAAACGGTGGCGTGAAGTCTACGAGAGGCTGTTTTCTTTCTAAACAACTGCACATTCGACAGACATCCCAGGGACAACACAAATGCATATTTACCAAATGTTCTTGGTCTGAATCAACACCAACCCTACAGGAAAAAACACAAAGAGCAAATGAGTTTCTGAAGCCAAGAAAAGTCTAGACACATATGTCCATTGTCAGGCAGCAGTTTTCCTCAGCACAGAAGCTATGCAATGGTTCATGTTTTCTTGCCTCTCTGCGGTTGTTGATATAAAGTTTTTGGCTCCTACCACTTTCCTTAGCAACAGCTTGGATTCTAAGCCAAGCAGGGCAAATGAGTCCCTTCCTGCAATCCCACTTACCAGTTTCAGTAAATAGCGTTTCTTCTCTGCCTAGGAGTCCACTCTTAAGCAGAGTCAGGGAGAGCACCAACACCCCAGTTGCTGAGTAAGAGTTACTGGAAAGTTCCAAAACCCAGGCGGGCACACAACGCAATTCCAGGAGGGAGCTGCCCGTTTTTGGACCCTGCAGCACTCACAGCAACACTCTATTATGATGATGGAAGAAAGGGTCCAATTACAGTGTCTTCATAGGCTACTGGGTAGCCTTGGGTCTTCACCGTTCTTTTCACAGGCATTAAATTCCTCCTCTGGGTAACTCAGGGAACAGCTTCACTAAGAAGTTCTGTGACTCTTCCTAGCCCCTAACACGAGCCCCACCCGTTCTGGATCTTCAGTGCCTCTCCCTGCCCTCCCAGCCGCTCCAGGGCAGGTCCTCATTCGGACTCGTGGGGTCTGTTGTGTAAGGTTTCCCAGCGGCCGGCTTCTCGCCAGAGTTAGCTTGGCTAAAGCACAGAGCTCAACGGGTCATGCCCTTCACAAAGGACCCTGACAGCAGCTCGCAACGCAGAGGATCAAGTGTAGAGCCCTTTGTGTGGCATTTAAGACTCTGCAAACAGGTGGCCGCCTCTCACACCAACCTGCTTCTCCGCCCTCATTCCCCGTCACTCTCTTCCACACGCACATGACTCCCCTGAATCCGGGTCCTTGCGGAGCCTCCATGCCTTTGCTCACGCTGTTCCCTCTGGCTGAAATGTGCTTCCCCTCGTTTCCCTATTCATTTGTTAAATGCCACAGTGCCTGTTCTGTGACCCCTTCACAAGCAGAATTTTTTTTCCTCTGTGCTTTCTTATAATACTCAGCACAGTAGAGTATAGTTATTTATCTGCCAGGCTCCCTGAGAAGACTGTGAGCTCCTTGAGGGTAAAGGCCATACCTCAATTCACCCCTGTATTCTCAGACTCTGGCACAGTACCTAACACACCATACGTGCTCAAACGTCTATCTACTGACTGAACTACTATGGACAACACAGAGGAAACAGCAGTAAGAGAATCTGCAGCAAAGACACGTAACACTCAAGCAAGGAAAACAATGCAAGACCACATATGGAAGGCAAGGGAGTCATGGTCAAGTGCTTGAAAGCAGATGTGTAAGACCGGATTCATAATTCAAAGAAAAGCACTTTTTTATTTTGTTAAAAATGGCCAGATGCTGTTTAACGCCTTCTCAGAGACATTAGACACGAAGCACATTTGTGCATCTCAAGTGACATCTAGTGGTCCTCTAGATAGTGCATTTGTAACACTCAGATGGCCAAATACCCAAAACCAGTATAATAAGCATTTATAGAACTCTTGCTGGGCGTGGTGGTGCACGCCTGTCATCCCAGCACTCAGGAGACTGAGGCAGGAGGATTGCTTTGAGTTCGAGACCAGCCTGGGCTACAAAGTGAGCTCAAGGTCAGCCTGAACCGCATAGCGAGACCTTGTCTCAAAAAAAAAAAAGAACTCGTATTATTTGCCAGGCACTGTACTAGGCACAGGGCAGACAGGAACTACACACAGCCCCTACCTTCAAAGACCTTACAGACACAACTACAGCAGAATCCCTAAGGGTTTCCTGCCAGGGAACACCAGGTTAAAATCTGTGGGAACTCGTTCTTACACAGTCCTACGGACCATGACTCTATCTATCACCTGGGAAATGGGGCTAGTGTCCATCAGACAGTCACGGCAAGGATTCAATGAGAAAATGTATTAAAAGCTGTTTAGAGTGCCAGATGGATCACTGACACTCAGAGGTAGCTATTAACCAATACTACAGTATTACAAGGCTGAAGGAAGTAAGGGCCATGCCAGAGACTTGATGTTATGCAAGCAGAGTGGTTCCAAGACAAAGGACCTGGGAGAAAACCGAGCACACAGGTATTCGGCTGTGTCACTTGCTGGGAGCACAAGAGAATTCCAGGCACAGGAAACATTATGAGCTTTAAGGGCTCAGACACACACACATGAAAAGGAGCCAAACATGACTGTCACAAATTATGTGCAAGGGCACAGGCATGGCCGGCTGACTCTAATTCACTGAGGATCCATCACTCACATGACAGCTAATGAGATCCTCTTCCACTGTAAATGAGATCATGGCACTCCTTTGCTTAAACAGCCTCCGAGATTTCTAATGGCATTTTAAAATGCAAATTCCTCACCACATCCTACAGACCTTAGAGCAGGAGTGCACCAACGGCAGCCCAGGCACCACACTCCCACCCCTCCTGTTTTTGTAAATAAGGTTTTCTTAGAACACAAGTGCACAAGTTGATTTGCATATTGCCCAGGTGAATAGCTGAGACAGAAACTGTATGACTTACACAGCCTAAAATCTTTCTCTCTTGCCCTTCATTGGAAAAGTAATGCAGACTGCTGTACCATACGATTGATGTGTGAACTTTCTGGCTGTTTATGAGACAGGCCAAGTTTGTTCCTGCCTCAGGGCCTTTGCACTTGCTTTCCCCTCTGCCTGGATTGCTCTTATCTTGTCACTCTGGTAGGCTGAGGTCAAAAGTGATCTCTTGGAGACCCTCTTATAACTATAACTACACGCCTGTCCTGTCACTATGCAGAACACTGTTTGAGTGCCATCACATTTAATATCACCTACAGTTGTTACGTTCATTTTTTTTGTTTACTTGCTCACTGTCTGTCTGTTCCAACTAAAGTATGGACTTTATGTAGCCAGGGACCTTTTTCTATCTTCTTACTGCCACTGTCTCTTTTTAAGGAGCAGGGTTTCTTATTCTTCACATGAGTGTCATTTTGGCCCAGATAACCGTTTGTTGGCAGGAGGAGCCTGTCCTGTATACACGGTAGTCTGTTTAACAGCGTCCCTGGCCTCTGCCTGCTAGACACCACCAGCAGCCCTCTCCCAGTTGCGACAGTCAAAAGTGCCTCCAAACACTGCCAAATGTCCCCTCAGAGGCAAAATGATCTCCGCAGAGAAATGCCGAGTTGGAGCCTCCAACAGCGCCTGGCACGCGGCTGGTACACAGTAAGTGTTCACTGCGGGTAAGTGCTCACTGAGTGAACGCATGACATCTGCTGTGTGCAGACATCTGCTCACCGAGCCCTGCCCACAACCCGAGGACACAGGTATTATGACATGGGCTACAGGTGAGAAGACCGAGGTTGTGAAAGATTAAAGAACTTGCCCAAGATCACAGAATCGGTAAGAAGGAAGGAGCAAGAGCTCAAACCTAAGTTTAGGTGTGCACAAATCTTCACCATTCAGTGATCATCAGTATCCTCAAAATAATACTAGACAAACTTAGGGGAGGGGAAGCTTAAGATATAGCGAGGCTGAAAAGTCAAGGAAATAAGAAAACAGAAAGAAGTAATCTAAAACTATGTCACAGAACAGGCTAGGTGGGGCCACCCAAAGAGCTTGCGCAGCTAGTGACGTAGTTTAAACTCCGGGGCGTGTGGGGTTTTTCTTTTGATGTAAGCACAGGTACTCTGAGTGAAGAGCACTACTTTTCCTAAGTTATCTTCCATTTAATGCTGTCCTCCCTAGGAAGTCTTCCTTGATAAGCTGATGAGAAAAGAAAGGAGTTCAGACTTCTCCAACTTACCACCGTCATTTCCTGCTGCACTGTGCTATGGAAGAAAGACCAGTGGCTCCTCCGTCTACCATTTAATTATCTTTATGATTTTAAACAACTACGAACCTTTGTAAGCCTGTTTCCTCATTTGTAATACAGTTTTTATTATTATGTAAATAGGTTAAGGCCACTTGGCACAATTTTCCGCACATAGTAGGTGCTCAGTAAATGCCAGATCTTCAAGTAATGATTAGGGGTATAAGAACATACTGTAGTTTGTTGTCTACTGTATACAATAACAGGAAAGAAATGATAAGAAAAGGGTTTTAATAGTAAAGAGATGGAGATGGCAACAAAAACATTTGATGTGCTATTTGGGGTTAGCTACTCTTTACAATGGTAAAAGCAAGGCATAACAGAATGAAACGCATGCAGGACAGAGTCTTTCAAATGTGAAAAGCAAGGAGAAATTATGTATGTATGTATACACAGGATAGTTAACAGAGTTGTTCTACTGTCTTCTATTTCTTTGCTGAAAAAATCTGTCAATGAGTGCTTGATTGATCAGTATTGCATGTCTCTATCTGTTTTCATGAGAAACCACTTTGAAGATATCAATATGTAATACAACAAGCATTGTTTATCTCCTACCACTTTGTTTGTAACTCTGTATTGTTTGTATTGTTCTTTTGCTATTTTGTAAATGGTTATCTGTTTGTTAATGTTTTCCTCCTTTTATTTTTAAAATAAAAAAAATAAAATAAAATGTGAAAAGCTTTCTTTTCTAATGACCCCTACGTATCCTGGAAGCTTGTAGCTTTTAAGGACTATGAAGTTTCAGCCAAACAAAGAATTGAAATCCACAAAGCCTTCAGCAACACAGGCTGCCGTAGCCATGGAAACAAAGCCACAACTCTTGAGATACAAGGGAGCTTTCAAATTGAATGCACGAACCAGTACACACTGAAGACTAAGACCTCATGATCTTGGCCTCGGGTTGTTGGGTTAGAAACAGTGCTGATTACAAAGATGAGAAAGAATGATAACGTCTGGTATTGATCAGAGCAGAGGGAAACGATTGTTTCACACACTGCAGATAGACCCAACCTGGTAACAGGAGCAAAAGCCTTAAATACATGCATACGCTCTTGACTAAGCCCTTCCACTCCTACGAATGCATCCTGAGGAACTAATTAAACAAGTGCGCGGTGGTGTATACATTTAAGAATGTCCACATTGTTAACGGTAATGCTGACAGCTAAAGCCTCAACTAACATAATTTACCATAAATATTTTGGTTTTATATCACCAAAATATAAAAGTCTAACAATAGGAATTTGTTTAAATAAATCAGGATATATGCAGCCACCCAAATACTAATGTAAATATATACTGTCCGTGCTATATTACTATTAAAAAACAAGCTGTAAGCGTACCTTTCTTGTTATCCCTTTTTGTTACAAATACATACAAAGCATAGCAAGATCTGGAAAGATATTCTTCAAAGGGTTAATGATTTTTTTATGATACTGGGGATTGAACCTTTGGCCTCACACATGCTAAGCAAGTGTTCTGCCACTGAGTTAAATCCCCAGCCCTTTTTAAGATAAGGTCTTGCTTAGTTGCCAAGGCTGTACACAAACGTGGGGTCCTCCTGTTCAGATTCCTGAGTAGCTGCGATTACGGGCGTATTTTGCATAGTTTCATCATTTTCCACACTACACTGTATAACTTATAAAAGGAAAAAATAAGTTATTATAGATTTTCAAAAGCTTAAAATCTCTTCCTGGCTAAATGAAAAAAGAAACCATAATAAACACTTAACATTAACACAAGGTTCCCAGTCCCTACTTACCTTATATGCAAGCACGACAGCATGGCTGTGGTGCCCCCGCCAAATACCCACACGGTAAAAAACACGATCAGCAGTGTGGTACTGAACATCATTTGCCGTGCATAGGTGGCAGTATCTCTAATGGCCAAGGCAAATGCCATCGCACCGCGAAGACCTACAAGGGAAATGAGGAGGCATGTCTTCAATAACTCATCACTGATGTTATCTTCATCGATTCAGAGATAAAAAGCACATCCTACAAACCCAGGAGCACGTGAACAATGTGAGCTAGATATTAAGATACCTAAATATATATGAATAGTAACAGAATTGTACACATGATACTGACATGCACTGACCTTTCAAAAATTCTTATTTTAGCACTTGCTAATTTATGTAGTAGAATTTGCTTATTGATGTATATAGCTCCATGAGTCGGTACAATGCAGAGGGTGTGTCCACTGCCACAGTCCAAACAGAGCAGTCGCATTCTCCTCCCAGAACCCTCTGCGCTACCCCTTTTTAGTTCAACCTCTTCCTCACCCTGTCAAACCCTTGGCAACCCTCGATTCACCCTCCATCACTACCGTACTGTCTCTTGGAGAAAGTCACGTAACTGAAAACATACAGTATATAATATTTGAGACTGGCTTCTTTCACTCAGTATGACGCCTCTGAGAGTCATCCATGTCACTGTATGGATAGTTTGCTCTTTTCAGTACCAAGTAGTACTGCGTGGCGTGAATGTACCAGTTCGTTTCCCCACGTACCCATCAAAGACGGACAAGGGGGTTGTTTCTAGGCTTTTGGTAATAATAAGTGGAAGTGCTACGGACACTTTCAGATTTTTGTGTAAAAGTACACTTCATCTTTATCTTCCTTTATGCAATATATTTTTTCTTCCTTTTTTTTTGGAGACAGGGTCTCACATGTAGTTCAGGTTGGCCTTGAACTCATGGCGATCCTCTTGCTTCAGCCTCCCAAGGGTTGGGATTACATGTGACATATTTCTAAGCCAAGTATTTGGAACCAGAACATGAAAAAAATTCCCAAACAAAGCAAATGCGACTTTTTTTTCAGGATTGGGGACTGAATCTAGGGCCTTTACACTGGCCCCAATCCTTTCTAAATTTTGAGATAGGCTCTCACTAAGTCACTGAATTGCTCAGGTTGGGCTCCAACTTTTATTCCTCCTGCCTCAACCTTCCAGCACTAGGATTTCAGGCAAAAGTCACTATACCCAGCTGGGAATGGGACACTATAGGAAGAATTTTCTACTTGAGGATGCAGTGTCAGTGTTTCAAGGGCTCCTATATTAGCAGCACAACGTTTTAGTTTCAAACCCTATAAACAGGCATATACATTGTAAGTGATTTCTTGGAAGTTATAACTTACCAGCAAACATCATCATATGTTGAAAATTTGATCCAATCTTACTTCTTCTACCCAAATTAAGCAAGAGAGACAAGGGGTAAATATTGGCAGCTCTTCCCAAGAAAATAGCCATCTAAAATTATTAACAGGTTAAGGAACTGGGGTTTTTCAGTTTGTTTTTTTTACTATTATTTAGACTACACATTCAAGAAAGTGACAAGACTATTGTATCTTTAACAGTCCTTGAACAGTACTATCTACTAGAACTTCTGCAATGATGGAAATTCTCTGTATCTGCATTGTCCAATACTGTACCTGAAATGTGGCTGGTGTGACTGAGGAAACAAAATTTTAATGTTATATTATTTTAGCTTAATTAAATTTAAATAATCACACATGGCTAGTTGTCACCAAATTAGATGGTGAAGGCCTAACGTATTGGAAATTCACTAGATAAACAGAACAGTTTAAAAGCAGAATTTCTTTACCATATTTTTTAGATTACAGTCATACCTCAGTACATATCCATAATTGGTTCTGGAATGCGTGCTGAAACCAATGAATACCGAACGAACTATTCTCCATAAGAAGCAATGTAATTAGAAATAACCTGTGATGAAAGTTCCCCAGAACTTTTACATTTTACTGGGCTAATATTAACCTTTTACTGGGCTAATTTAAGCCTTCTGAGCGTAGTGCTATCACTCTTAACTTTTGGGGGGCTTAAATGCACAAAAATACAAGATGTAAAGGAGGAACGTGTGGAGTTTCCACACCGTTCGCGAGCTAGCGTGAGACTGACACAAGTGCTGAGTGCAATACGCACCAAGTACAGTACCGGATCTGCCAAGTTCTGAAGCAATGAGGACTGAGGTGTGGCTGTATTAATAGGCTAAGTCTTTTCACTTTCTGTGTTGATAAGAAGAAAGTAACGCTGGCTAAACTTCCCCTTTCTTCCTCAGAGCAAAGAAGAGGGCAGCTCAGCCACCTCGTGCCACTGAAATTCCTGCAAGTCCGGAGGAGCCCCAGGAGTCTATATACCTTGAGCCTGCTGCTGAGGACAGGCTTAATGTGAATTCACATGGCTTTAACTAGAAAGCAATCTTAGTGTCTTTTTTTTTTTTTTTTTGCTATCTGTAGAAACTCCTGATTTATAATTACATCTTTTTAAATGTCAGGGTCAGAGTACAGACCTACCCCATTTCCTGAAAGGAATATAAAGGGAAATCTAATATTAAACAAAACGTGGTGGAAACAGTGCTAGCCTAAGTAACCTTGAGAGAGAGTACAGTCTGTCAGTCTGTAAGTCTAAAGGCAAAAGGAATGGCACCTAAGAATTAGACGCCTCTTGATAAAGTTGTTTCCCATGGGAATATCAGTTAACAGTTCTGATACTGTCAAATAGTGATGTACCATATAATATTTTGGTCAATGACAGCATATATTATGGTGGTTCCAAAAGACTTTAATGGCGCTGAAAAATTCCTACTGTCTAGTGAAACTCTAGCCATCATAACAGCAGAGCACACTGCATTACTCATGTGTTGGTGGTGGTACTGGTATCAAAAAAAAATACTGTGTTGCCAGTCATATGAAAGTATGGCCCGTGCCATTATATATAGTATATAATACTTGATAATGATAATGAATGGTAATGTTACTGGTTTATATATTTACTATACTATACTTTTTAACAATAGAATGTACTTCTACATATAAACAAAAGTTTCACCATAAAACAGTATGCTGTGTCCCATATATCTCATGTTTCCTGAGTCTTTTAACTGCATCAAAAGGCCACATCAAGCAACTGACCTTTACCATACAGGTTTGTTTAAACAAAATCTATGCTGCTCAAACAATGATAAAATTGCCTCATGATATAGTTCTCATAATATATCCCCACCCTTAAGTGGTGCACGACTGTATGTGTACACTAGAACTGAACAATTAAGTAAACGGATGTCACGTGGCAGGAGCCAGGTTTCCCACCACTGGAACGGGAGCTAACAGATCAGCTAGGGAAGGAGGTCATACTGATCCGTGTGGTAATGGGTAATACAGATGGTTACACATACACGTATTTATATGGATGTACGTATATACGGGGCCCAGTGTAAACATGCAAATGTCCTTGCTGTCAGCTGAGAGGGCCTAGAAGCACACTCTATAGCTCTGAGCACACCTAGTGCTCAGATCTTGCTTTCTAATACTCTCCAATGAAAGGAACCAGAGCTCTTAAGAAATGACTAGGTCTAAAGTTGAAGCAAAAAGTATACAAAGTGAGCCTAAAGCATCTTGCAGTTCAACAAAGTAAGAGGTATTCCAAAATAAAGAAATAAATAAATAAACCAAACAAAAGCAAAATCCACAATGACAGTATGGTAATGTTACAAGAGGACACAAGATCCACTGAAAGGGCTCCCAGTGGCCAAAGGTGGAACGGTCTAAGCAACGAACATTAAAAAGTTGTATCATATTATAATCTAAAGTATAGCATATGTATCAGTGAATCCACATTGTATAAATAAATGAATAAAACAATAAATAGGAGAACAGATAAACCTCTTGTGTAAAGCATTTAGAGTAACTGTGTAGATACTCTGTTCTTAAGAGGTAAGACCTCACTTCCCACTCCCTAAAAGAGGGCCGCATGCGGCGCCTTCTTCCCAAGCAGCACACTACAGAAAGAGTAAGCGTAACTTCACAACGGGAAACCTGCCAAACACCAACTCAGCCAGGGGAGCGAGACGGCCACCAACATTACCGTATGAATAAATGTGTACCCTTGCTACTACGGGCTAGGAACGGCACTTTAACTTCTGTAGTGTTCCTCCCAGTCTAGTCACGGGAACAACCTGAAAGCATTATGCAGAACACCGCATCAGCACTTCTTCACACTGTCAAGGCTCAACAAAAATCAGGAACAGATGAGATCCTGCCACAGTCAAGCAGAGCCTAAAGCTACATGACAAGCAAATGCACATATAGCATCGTGGATGGGACTCTGGAATAAAAGAAGGATGAGAGCAGGGAAAAACCATGGGTATCTGAATAAAAATGAACTTTACTAAATAATAATATAATAATATTGGCTCATTTGCCTTGACAAATGTACCATGCTAATGTGGGAGACTAGTCATAGCAGAACGTGGATATGGGTTATGTAAGAACTTTCCATACTCCTCCCAATTTTTTGTAAATCTAAATGTATTCCAATATTTAAAATAATGATTCTCTACAAAAATGCAAACAATAATAAAAAGCTTATGGCTCAGAGTGACAACAACTGTTAGTTGTTCCCAGTATCTCTTCTTCCTGCCTTCTGTAGTAGGACACACTCCTCCCTCTTGACTGCTGTTTTTATTCGGGTACACACGGCCCAGATAAAGAGTATGTTTCGCAGCCTCCCTTGCAGGTCGGTATAAGCAGTGACATTACACAGAAGTGCGGTGCACATATTCTAGGTGGTGCCCTTAAAGGCAATTCACAGCTACAGGGGTGACCCGCCTGCCTTGGACACAAGAAAAAGGGCAACTCCTTAAGGAGATCGGCACCAGTGTTGCCTGGGTCCCGGAGACTGGAACACAGCTGCCGTATCAGCTTGGGCTTTTACATGACAAAGTTCTGTCTTGTGCAAACCCGGGTTAATTTGAGTCTTCGTCATATGAAACCCTAATGAACCCAGAGAAAAAGAGAACAACTCTCTCCTGTTAAGAGACAATTTTTAGAGACTTTTTTTAAATGAAGAATTTCTATCCCAAACAAATTTGCAAACTGACAGAGAAACATTTAACCTTGTTTTCAGATTAAATAGTCAATGAAGCCACTTCTCTGCCCCAAAATTTCTCAGGTATTTACAGAATATGAAGTTATTGATCTCACAGGTGGCCTTTCAGTTAAGGTTCTTCTCTTTTCTCCCTGAGGGCTGCAGAACAGTATTTCTGTAACACCTCATTTTCTAACAGAGATCTTACCTACAGTTTTAGTTTTAATTTTAAAAATTTCTACTAATTTCTTGGGCAGGATCTCCTGAGATTTTTTTTGTTTTTAAAACAAACACAACTTTTGAAAAATCACTTATTTAAATATTCACCTTCCAGGGCCGGGGATATAGCTCAGTGGCACAGCGCCTGCCTGGCAAACACAAGGTCCTGAGTTTGACTCCTGGTACCAAAAAAAAATTCACCTTCCATCATTTCTTCCATATTTCACATTCAACTAACCCACCATGGGCATCCTTCTCCCTCAGCAGGACCTCCAGCCCAAAGATGGTTCTGCATTTTCCTCGACTCCCCTGCTGATTCACGTGTTAGTAATGCCCTTTCCAGTACCCTACATTTGCTCTGCCCCCTGTCTTCACTGCATCCATTTGACAAAACCCCAAAGCTGGATGGACCCAACTATCCCATTCCCCATACTCACAGCGGCATCCTCCTGGCAAAAGTTACACAGTAGGGCAGCTGCTTCTACCTCTAATATCTAGTCCTCAAATTCGAATGGCCCACTTGGTCAACTCATATCTTCCCGCCTTCTCCAACTACTTCACAAACCTTCTCCACCTTCCTCAAAATCCCAGTCACCTGTGGAAGCGGGCATCTAAGATGGTTCCCCATGACCCTGGACTCCCAATGTTAAGGTCTGTGTCTAGATATTCCCCAAAGCCCCATGCAGTCACATGAGCAGGCTATTTAGAGGTGGCTGAACCTGGAGTTTGTGACTGATTCATGGTCCAATGCTGGGTAAGGGTATGAAAGCTATACCTGCCCTAGGGGGCAGCCTGCATCCAAAATAAGGGACAAGAAGAGGCTTGGTCCTTCCTTCCCTTCCCTGTTTTTACTATCTTCTGCTGCCATGAACTGTTTCTTGTCTGGGATGCCCCTCTGCCAAGCCACACTGCCTTAGAGCTGGCTGACTATGGACTGAAGTCTCTATAACTGTGAACTAAATAAGACTTTCCTCCTCTAACCTTGGGTACCAGGCATTTTCTCTCAGCAACAAGAAAAGTAACTAAGACACTTAGTATTCACATCCTTGTGCAGGCCCACTCACACCAACTAAGGCTGTGTGAGCAACAAAACTCTGCCACTTTCAAGGTGAAGTTATGGAAGTCACTTTTGCTTCCACGCTGGTGCTCCCTCAGCGACCTCGCTCTGGTGGAAGCCATGGAGCGGGCTGCCCTATGCAAGGGTCCCTGTGAAAGGCAGGCGCCTCCCACTGACAGCCAGCAGACTGAGTTGGAAGTGGGTCCTCCAGCATTAGTCAATGCTTAAGTGTTCTCCCAGCCATCTCCTGAAAGGTCCTGATCCCAGAACCACCAAGGTAGGCTTCCCACGACTTCTGATCCTCAGACTCCATGTGAGGTAAAGAATGCTTGCTGTGTCAAACTGCTAAGGTTTAGGGCAATTTGTAACAGGATGACAGACAACTACTAAACCTGTTTCACTCTCAGCAGCTGATCTCTCCTCCTACTTTACACATTAGAAACAGAATCGATCCACTAGAAGCTGCACTGCCCGGGTTCCCTGCCTCTCCACACATCCCATCCTCCTTTGTAACAGTGGAGGTCAATGGCTCTCCACATGCTCCGGGTTCTGTCTCTTCTGGTCCTCTCATGAGTCTTACACTATGGACTACTCTTCCATGCAGTTTCTTTTTAATTCGTTTGTAAAGAGTCAATTCACTTACATGAAAGAAAGAGGGAGAAGGGAAAGAAAGTGGCCTACGCAGCCCTTCCTCATCTTTTACCTCCTGTTCTACACTTAGACTGCTAACTGTTCCCCCATATCATTGCTCTTCTTCTCCGTAGTAACAGAGGACGCACAGTTTTATCTTCGGGGGGTGAACAGAATGATAGGAGACTTTTCTGCCATTTCAATCTGCCGACCTATTTGTGCAATAAACAGAAATAAAAATAGGATAGAATAAAATCAACTGAATAGAATACAAAAAGAGCTGAGATCCCTGTTTGCTTTACTCTGAGGAAATTTTTACTCTGAACATATTTCAATGTATTCTTATTACCCCACCCCCCAAACCATGTGAAAACCTCAGTTAAATTGGCTTTTACAGACCATACGATAAAGGATACAAATGCGCCTATTATAAATGTTAGGTTAAAGACATGGCTCTGGAAGGTGAAGAGTGTGAGGCCCATGTAGGAGAAGATGAAATTCTCTGCCAAGAAATTGAGAAGCTCAAACAACTGCAATGAAATTTTAAAAGGTTAGTCCAGTAAATAAATTAAATTACACAATTTGAAAACGTATTACTAAGACAATGAAACAGACACTTCAAATTCATAAAGTTCATGCGTACACCCAAAAGTATGACTCAGAGGGAGCAAATGTAGAGATGACATTTCCAGTCCCACAGAAAGAGCCAAAAACATTGCCCCCTCACTTTCCCTAATCATCCTCCCTTCTCCAAATCCCCACTTTCAGTCATTTTTATCCTCCTCCACCTCCTCCTCTCCCAAAGCCTGTCAAGTTTTCTTTTGGAATCTTTCTGTGGCCCCGTCACTGCCCAAGTCTAGCTTTCATCACTTTTCACTCAGAGTACTACAAGAGGACCCTCACTGGCATCCATGAGACCCCTCATTTCCCACTCCCCACCTGAGGAATCACTCCATTTCTTTTTGTTTTTGTTTCTGTCTTTTTGAGACAGGTTCTCACTGTGCAGTTCAGGCTGGCCTTGAGCTCACTTTGTAGCCCAGGCTGGCTCGAACTCGCAACAGTCCTCCTGCCTCAGCCTCCTTCTAAAAGTAGCACTTCTGAGATACTTCCTTGTCTGCAACCTCTAAGATCCAGCTCAACTTCTTCCACCTGGTAGAGTGCTTCATGACTGCTCACACAGCACTGGCTTGCCACTGACTTAACTCAGCCATGAGTCTTAGCCCTCGCTTCGTGACTAAGCCTCCTAAAAACAGGGCACACGCACCACAGTCCTGCACCCAGTGCCCTCCCCGCTGCTGCCTACCCGGCCCCACCCTGTTCACACCACTACCTCCCCAAGTGTCATACAAGACTTGCTGAATGACTGTAGGGAAGGCCCTCCATCAGCCGATAACCCTCAGTTTCCCAGAGTCCTCTGGGCTACCACAAGAAGAAGGAGGTTAAGAACATGGGCTTCAGAGTCAAAATGCCTAGGCTTGAACCCTGCCTTTTCTACTTGTTAGCTGTGTGGTTTTGGGCACATTAATTAATCTTCTTAAAGTAGAGTTGGGTTATTATTAAAAAATAAGAATAAGCATTAAAATAAATATATTTAATTTTCTTTAACTGATTTAATATACTGTTATGCCTACTTGATAATAACTACAGTATGTCTAGATTATACTATGTGCCTAATACTATACTAAGGATTTATGTGCATTATCTTATTTTAATCTTATAACACCACCATGAGGTAGGTACTATTATCATCCCTGTCTTAGTTATTTTGGTTGTTTGAGGTGCTTGGGATTGAACTTAGGGCCTTATACATGTTAGGCCTGAGCTGTGGCTGAGCTCTACCCCTATAGCCTCCCGCCATCTCGGGCAGAATCTTACTGCTTCCCAGGCTGTCTTGAACTCCTCAAGCAATCCTCCCACCTCAGTATCCAAAGTAGATGGGACTACAGGTGTGTGCCACTGTGTCTGGCATTATCTCTATTTTAAAGAAAGCAAAACTGATGGACATACATGTAGCAAGTAGTGGAACCACGATTTGAGACAATACAGTGACTCATCAGTACTGGCTTTAATCCACAACACGGAGGCTGGCAAACTTTTCCCGTGAATGGCCAGAGAACAAATATTTGCGGCCTAACAGGTCACAGGGTCTCTGTCACACTGTTCAGCTCTGCCAGTGTAGTACAAAAGCAGCTATGGGCTACACATTCTAAAAATGAGTGTGGCTGTGTGCCAAGAAAAGCTTATTAATGGACACCGAAGTTTGAATGCCACTTAACTTTCATAGGTCATAAAAATATTCTTCTCCTGATTTTTCCCCAATCATTTGAAAATGTAAAAATCCATTCTGAGCTCATAAGCCAGCAAGGGACAGACGTGGCCTGCAAGCCACTGTTTGTCAACCTCTGCTATATACTTTACTGTCTTCTTTTTATCTGTCTTTTTTTGTGTGTGTGTGTTTTTTTTTTTTTTTTTTTTTTTTTTTTTTTTTTTTTGGTACCTGGAATCGAACTCAGGACTTTGCGCTTGCCAGGCAGGCGCTGTGCCACTGCACTATATCCCCAGCCCCTGTTTCTTATTTTCTGCCTTTTCTTTTTTAATTTTTTTTTTACTGCCTTCTTTTTATTCCTGCCTTTGTCCTGTTTCCCTAAGCCCTTCCAAATCCTTCCCATCTTTGTACACACAATACTTCCTCTATAACAGCAATCCAGGTTCTCAAGACTCAAGCCGTTCCCCACCACACTGTCTGATGTCTTATATGATATGGAATTAAAGCACACAAGCTAGGATTCCTATTAGTCACAGTATTTGTTTTACGTATACAAGCTTCATATCAGTGCCAGGCCTGGAAGCTCTTACCTGTGGGTTGTGTATGTCCCACCCTGCTACCTAGAGAAAAGCTGAACCCCTTTGGTTTTCTTCTTTATACTTAGTGCACTGAATAGATTTGCAAAAAGGCTTTGCAACCCTGATAGATATGCTTAGGAAGGGGAGTATAATTTTATTCTGAAGGGTTGAGGAAAACACAGGTCATAAACTAAATCTGCAGCTCCAGGACAAAGAAAAAAGGAACTACTGAGCCTGGTTTACAATTTGGCCTTTCCACACTCATCTCACTATTTCGGACCATCTGGCAAAACTGAATGCCTCTGGTTCTCACCATAATCATCATCAAGCATGCACCTTTAGAGTACATTTTGTTTGTGTATATGTACTATATAACGCCTAAGACTGGAGAATTCTATGCCTATTTCCCTCGTAGTTCTTGTCAAGTACTTTGTGCAAGGATCATTCAGCACCCAACCACTGGCCGTCGCCTGGGAAGAGCAGCTCCGCAAGGCCCGAGTGAAGGCTGAAGGAACTCAGTGCTCTCTAGATGGTCCAGCAGATCTAGCCAGGTTAGGACGTAATCTTCCCTGCTTCACACCGCAGCAGCTCTAGCCAAGCTCAAGTGAACTTCCTAACACTCCTTTTAAAAGCCACTAGGTTAGGAAGCAGCAAGGCATGAAAAAGCTAGCTAAGTGGTTACTGGAAGCACAGGAGCAACAGCCCCCAGTCTGCGGCTAACCTGCCTCCATCTACGAGCCTTCAGCCTGTAACTTGCCAGTCTCATCCATTTCTAGAGTCGAAGGAAGACTAGACAGAACCTTGACCAGATCAAAGATTACCCTTTAGTTTTTTAAAAAAGCTTCCATTTCACTAAGAGAAGGAAAATTTTATTTGCAAACTAAAAAGTCTGTCTTACCTGTTTAGTTCGATGCTGAGACTCTGTGGATAAATTATTGTATGTGTAATGTGCTTGCGTGATGCCACAGAACAGTACTGCAACCACACCTACAAAGACAACAAATTCCAAGTTCACGTCACGAGGTGGTTCCCATCTTTCATACTGAGGTTCTCACTTTACAGAAATAGATTACGTGCATAGTGTTCATTTTCATTTTCTTTGATTTTGTTGAGGAACTGCTTCCATTGATTTTTTTTTAACATTCTAAAATGATAGCCTAAATCCCAACCATAACACACTCACTCAAATACTAAAGGTGCTAATTCACTTGTGGTGAAGAAGTGGCTCACTGATTCCCCGTAAGGATTTACGATCCAAAGCAGAAAGGAACCCACCTGTGAAGCCCCATGCTTCAGCCAAAAGGAAGGTGCTCCAGGACATCAGGAAAAATAAGCCCGTCTCCAGCAACTGGAACTCTCGCAATTTGGTGAACTTTGTCACGTGAGACTGTTAAGCTTGGTAACAAGATTTTGGGATCCCGAAGTGTGACTAGAAAAATAACAGTCAAAGCAAGGCAGCCAAGAAAGCAAAAGAAGGGCTCTCTAGCCTCTTAGCACAGAAGTTATAAAATAAGGAAACACCAACATCAAGAAACCCTTAGAATAAGAATCTTACTGAGGAATAAGCTGTCCTCCCGTTAGTAAGGAAGCCTCTCACCTTAGCTGCTCCTCCTGCTTGATGGGTATCACATACCTTGCCAGAAAGCACACAGGACAGACCCAGGCACTGCCACACACCCCTGTAACCCCAGCAATGCGGGAGGCTGAGGCAGGGAGAGCATAAGTTCAAACCCATGCTAGGCGTGGTGGTACACACTTGTAACTCCAGCACTAGGGAGGCGGAAGCAGGAGGATCGCCATGAGTTTGAGGCCAGCCTGGGCTACACAGTGAGTTTAAAGCCAACATGAAATATATAGTGAGACCCTGTCTCAAAAAACCAAAACCAAAAATCATACAAATATAAAAGCCACAAGTTCAAGTCCAGCCTGGGCAACTAAAATAGACTTTCTCTCAAAATAAAAAGCAAAAAGGCTAGGGATGCAGCTCAGTGCAAAGGCCCTGGTTTTAATCTTTAATGCTGCTCCCACAAAAAGGACAGGTAGAGACGAGATCAACAGATTGGACACACAACATGGTACTCTAACTTTGTAGCCCAAAGCAAGACATGTTCCATAATTGTAGCAGTTTATATTTATAAAAACACATAATTGTGTGAGATTTCAAATTTATTTAATCCTATAACATGTCTGTGATGCAGAGCATTTAATCTATGATGAAAAAAACGGAAGTACTTCACTCATTTATTTTAGTACAAAAAGTAATTGTTCACTGACAATGAAAGAGCACATGACAAGTTGTGGCCAATCACGGGCTAGAATCTAGAACCACTCCAATAACTACCTACTACAACAAGCAAGATATACTTCCTTACTTCAAGGAATGTGTAGCTGGAAAGAGATATTATTTGCATAGCTCTTTCTGTGGGGTGGGGATATAGCTCAGCGGCACCACGCCTGCCTATCAAGTGTGAGGTTGTAAGTTCAATTCCCAGCAAAAAAAAGAAAAGAAAAATGCATAGCTCTTTCTTTAGAACACTTTTACTGCACGTATCTATGTCTCAGTTCATCTACAAAAAGTCATGATAGAAGTCTCTTCTAGCACCAAGCTAAAGCATACCAAACTGAGAGGTCAATCCTTGAAAAAGAAGCATGCATTTGTTTTAAAAGATTTATAGCTGGAAATGCTTTACCGATCATCTAGTACTGTTCCACTCAACTTTCCTACTCTCCCTGCCCCAGTTTCCTACACTGAGATGCAAAAAGGTGAAGCATCAGAGCGTCTACCTTGTTTGCATCTACCACAACACCGGAGGCTGCGGGGAAGCAGGGACCATTTATTTGCCTTATTTATCTTTGATACCGAGAGCAGAGCATCTAGCACATACAGGCAATTCAGAAATGACTTTTGAATGAATGCAAGAATGACGTGCCCAGTATTTCTCACAGCTAACTGGTGGCAGTATCAGGATTACAACCCAGGTCCTCTGGGTTCCCAGCCAAGGGCTCTACAGCACAAAAGCTAAACTTAGGACAGCCAGGATGAATTCCTATATATCCTCACCTGGCAACTATATATTCTGTCCATGTAGCATTGTGATCATAAATTTCCCGTTTGTTGTACCAAAAACAGAGCAGAAGACTACCAAGCTGACCAGCAGCACAGAACACTCAGAGGCTCTTTGGAATGTATCTACCTTTACATCAATTTACTCTACAACCTTACAACTCATCCTCAAGGGGCTCCTGTGTCTCATTAGACTCTTGTAGTGAAAGTTTTAGGGCAAAACAATGAAAATGTATTGCTTGATGTTTTCAGGCCAAGTACTTGGTTATAAGGTTAATAATTATAAGACAAATAGGAGAGACCATGAATTATAACATTCAACTACTTCATTTGGTTAAATATACAAAAAAGGATATCAAAGCTGTCACCACCCCAGTAGCAGCACCCATTGCAAAAGATCCACTGAAGATCCCAAGGAAGATTCCGATAGACTTGAACATGGCTGTGACATCGAAAGTATGACTGTTGTCTCCAGCAGGCTGATATGCTACTATTGAGCTGCAAAAGACAGGATACTCTTACTTCTGGAAGCACTTTTACTTTAAAAATATTACTTAGCACAGACCTTGACAGATGAAATCAGAGGAAGAGAAACAAAACCCAAACCAATGATTCGAACTGCCAAAATAAAGAAAAAAACTCATAAAAAATCATGCAGTGTTATCTAGCTAGCAAGAAGACTCAGCCTTACGTGACAATTTCAGGAGACAGAACATGGGAAGGCCTCTATATAAAGGTTGCACTGAGGCTCTCTCAGTACTGTGCAGTATTATTCTATTGTGACTATTTTGAAGAATTACTGAGTGTCCAAAAGCCCAAACATACTAGTGGGAACAAACTAATGCAAAATCCAGCAAAGGCGTAAGACTATTGCTCAGTACTTCACCCAGTCACATTTTGTATTTCCTATGGGGGAAAAGAAAAGCTGACTGAAGGACCTTTCCAGCTTTTAGAATACCAGAACGGTCCAAATGCCTAATATCTATTCACTCACTAAAATGGACTTTTATGGGGGAAAGGGGCTTGAAAGGCCTTCCAAGGGATTATAATCCACTCAGTAGTATTTTGAGCATACGTAGGCTGGATCCTCCACCCCAAACTTCTGAAAGAAAGTCACTCTGTACCAGGCCATGGCAATTACAGGGAACATACTCCATTCTAGAACTCCCACAGTCTAAACCTAGTCTGGAAAAGCTTCTTTTATAATAGTCAGCCCAGGAAGTAGAAATGGTTGCAAAAATTGCTCTTGACCAAGTCTCTGGCAACAGTGCTTACTGTTACTAAACAGTTCTCATCTCAGTCAATTGAGGTTCTGCTATTGTAAAGTCCAGACTCAGAAACATCACACAAGTCATGTCGAAGAAGAGAAGAAAGAAAAACACATTCCTAAGAATACACTGAATTCTCCCTGTGGTTACCACATAGGTTTGTTTTCTTTTATCTGGTTCAAGGCTTACAAATGTGCTTGTTTTATCATCTGCAAGTGTTTTTCAACCTGCCCAGGTAATTTTTTCAAAAAAACCTAAGATCGGGGCTGGGTGTGGTGGCACACACCTGTAATCCCAGCACTCGGGAGACTGAGGCAGGAGGATCATTGTGAGTTTGAGACTAGCCTGGGCTACAAAATGAGCTCAAGGCCAGCCTGAACTGCAAAGTGAGATCCTGTCTCAAAAAGACAAAAAAAAAAATCTAACTAAAATTTCCTAATTTGTATCTATTTCATTCAAGTATAATACAAGACTAACATTAATTTCTGGCAATGGCATCTCAAAATTTCTGAAAATCTGAAATGAAACTTGTAAACATTAAACATTTATGTTTAAAGTAATCAGATTATTTTGGCCACAGTAGACTTGATATTATTTTGATAAATATGAAATGGCCTTTAATATTACGTTGCTTTACCTACACATAAAAGGTCACCCCATTATAAATGAGATTTGAACACTTTATAACATTTAAATACATTAGCTGCCTAGAGAAAAAGACAGGCTATTGCCACAACAATCTTCTTTTCTCCCTGGTAGTATGTTCCAAAATGCTGGCTGGAATTAAATATCTACGCTATGCCTCTTGAGGTTGCTTGCCCTGGATTAGTTCAAGTAAATTCAAGGTTCACACTAATCATTATTTCACTCTTTAACCACTGAAATGTACAAGGGTACATGGAAAACACGATGAGCTGAGAACTGATAAGAAGTTTGTTTTGTTGTTTCAGGAATATGCTGACTTTTAGCTTGAAATCTGAGGTCATCTTTTCCACATCAGTCAACATCTAATCTTGAGAAATCATTTTTATGAATATTTTTTAAATTCTGAAAGTAATACAATATATAGTTTAGAGGGAAAAAAATTACTGTCATTCCACTACTCTATTTCATTCTCCTTCCATACTGCTTTTTCCACTTTATAGTTACAACCATAATAAATGCACAGTTATGACTGCTGCTTCTCCAATCAACCATAAACAAAGTTATGAAGCTTTCAAAAGGGTCCAAATGGTTATAGCCTGATTTATTTAACTATTTGCCCACTGTTAGACATTTAAAGTTGCTTTAAATGTTTAAGAACAGATTTTTGGTTTTTTACATATTTTGAACTATTTCCTTTGCACTACAGTCCTAGAAATATAGAGTATTATAATACCTACAGCTCTTTTTATGTATTACTCAACTATTTTTAAAAAAAGTCTCTATTACATTTTTGGAGGAAAATACGATAGCTCTCGATTTTTAAAATGATCATTACCAATCTACCTAGGAATTATCTTTTGAAAAGTATTCTACATGGTAGAATGCTTGCCTAGTATGCACAACACTCTAGGTTTGATCCCCAGCACCTCAACTCTCCCCAGAAGCATTCTAGGAAACAAGGACAAAAATGTAATTATCCTATAGAGTCACCCCCAAGGATTAAGATATATACACATAAATACACTCACTGCAATGCTAGTTATTATAATGTGACATTATAAAGTGCCAAATATTCAGCTCAAGAACAGCTCAAAGGTAGAGTGCTTGCCTAGCATAAGCAAGGGCTTGGGTTCCATCTCAAGCGTGACAAAACAAACAAAAAGGAAAAACACCAAGTATTAGTCATAGGGGATTGACGAGGTAAATTTACAGTGCACCCATACAGTAGGATAGTAGAGGCATTAAAATAGCACAGGGCTGGGGATTTAGCTCAGCAGCACAGGGTCTGCCTGGCAAGCGCAAGGTCGTGAGTTCAATTCCCGGTACTGGAAAAATAAAATTAAAATAGTACAATGACCAACTGAAAACAGCAAGTTACAGAAATGTATGTGTATTGTTATGCCTGTTCTACTTAAAAATTAATATGTTTATACATATATTAATATCCTAATGGAAAAAGTTTGGAAGAAATCCCTACCAGTGGTTACTTCTGAGCTGAAACTTCAGGAATGTTCTACATTCTAAGTAGAACTTTCAAATAATTTGAATTCTTTTCTTTCAAATAATTTGAATGCTTTTCTACTTTCAAATAATTTGAATTCTTTTCTTTCAAATAATTTGAATGCTTTTCTACTTTCAAATAATTTGAATTCTTATCACAAACATGTATTAATTTTACTATCATAAATCATAAAAGACGATACCGATTTGAATGTTAATGATTGATCTAGTTTCATTATACCAAGGTTGCTCAACTCTGGCATTACTGATATTTGGGGCCAAGTAGCTATTTGTCAGCGTGCAGGGGGTTTTGTCCTATGCATTAAAGGCTTATATACTAGATGTCACTACCAAACTACTCTCATTCATAATAACCAAAATATCAGTAGACATTGTCAAATATTCCCAAAGGTGAGGGCAGGAGTGGTGGAACTGCCCCCATTAAGAATGACTGAACTATGCCACTACCAGTTGTAACTATTATCATTAACAATTTGTTTTATTAAATGAATAATAAAAATGACCACTTATTTTTAAGTATATAGTTCTGATAACTAGTGGAGTAAAACAGTCATGCTTGTTTACTCACTGTACTTCTGCTTTTATAAAATGGAAATGACTGCACAAAACATATTTTAAAATAGTGTGAATTTAAATTTCCAGGCTAATTATGGTATATTCATTCAGTGGAATATTGTGGATCTTTAACTAGCTAGATATATTATACTGTGTCAACATATATACATATATAAATTTATGTCATACAGCAATATATGAGGTGACCAGATTAAATGCAATAACATTTTTAAATGACTACTCATCTGATAGTTTCAAAAAACAGAAACAGAGAAAGAAAAATCATCTGCATGTTTATAGAGAACAATTCATAATAGCTAAATCTTGGAATCTGCCTAAATGGCCATCAACAGATGAATGGATAAAGCAAATGTGGCATAGATACACAATGGAGTACTACTTAGCCATAAAGAACAAATTTGAGTCATCTGAAGGAAAATGGATGTACCTCGAGACCATAATACTAAGTGAAATAAATAAGACACAGAAGGGTAAATATGATATATGTATATTCTCCATAATAAATATATTTATTATTTATTACAAATATGCTCTAATTTTAAAAAGACAACAAAATAGCACAACCCACCTCCAGCATAAATTTCAACAAGAGCTGCTTTAAACCTGTTGATTGCCAAACAGAATTCCTTTGGAAAGGGGTGACCTCACCTTTGATTCAAGATTGCTTATACATAATACACAGTTAACTGCTTAAAAGGAAAGAACAACTGGCATGAAGGAACCAAAAAAAAAAGAAAGAAGGGAAAAATATATATATGCACAAGATAGCTAGATAATTGTACTACTAACGTCTATTGGTTTATTGAAAGAAACAGTTCAAAACCAAAAAAAAAAAAAAAAAAAAAGAAACAGTTAATAATTGTTTGATCAATTCTGCATGCCTATATCTGCTAATCTGAATAACTACTTTGAAGACAACAAAATGCAATATAACAATCATTGCTAATTTCCTATCAACTTGTTTTCAAATTCTGTATCATTTTTAGTTTTTTTTTATTCTCTCTAAAATAAAATAAAAAATTTTAAAAATACACACAGTTGATGTGTTAGTTACTTTGCTCGCTGCTGAGACAAAACAACTGACATCCAAAGTTAAAGGAGGAAAGGTTTATTTAACTCAGCTTATAGAGGGTTTAGTCCATAATAGACTGGCTCCAAGGCAGGGTGGCATGGCAGACAGGCATCACAGAGAAGAAACAGTTCATGGTGGGCAGAAGGTAGCAAAGCAGTAAGAGATGAACACAGCTCTTTCTATCCCTTATATCTTATCCTTATACCAGGATTAGGGTAGTGCCAAACCACTCTGTGACTGATTTGGTAATCATCCACCCTTAATCCTAGCATTCTTAATCCTAGCGTTACACCATGAATCAATCACACACTCTAGATTCAGCCACCTCTGAAAAAGCCCCACCTAATAACTGCATGAGGCTTTGGGGGACATCTAGACACAAGCCATAACATTCCACCCTTAGCCCCGCAAAGGCT